CTTCATAGTCGGTGTAGAGGCCTGACCATCGCACTGTATTTCTGAAGCTGATGTTGAATAATATTGTATATCAACTATAATTATATATACATATAGTCACGGGATGTGGAGTACACAGTAGGAATGGAGTCAGTGGAATTGTAATAGACAAGCATGATATCAGGGGTGGGAGGGAGTAGATGGGGAAGGGGGGTTGATTCTGTGCGAAGGGTGAAAAGGATAACTATTGCATTGTTCTGTACATCTGAAACTAACAATAAAAAAAAATTAAAAATTTCAAGGAAGTCTCTGCTGGTGACAAGGTAGTAGGACGAAGGGTCATCATAGGCATCATGAAAATAAAGTCAGAACTCGTCCGTAGTTCTGTGCAAGGCAGAACCAGAGAGAAAGGTCTGGTTGTGAAAGGTCGAGAGCTTTGGAATAATCAATCACCTAGATAAAATAAAGATGGGCTGCCTGGAGGGAGAAAGGTACAGGGGGAGGGGTTGTCTAAGCTACTCAAATGGCTAAGTAACAGGCTAAGCTAACGTCCCCTGTTTTAAAAAAATTTTCACAACACTGAAATACAAAGTCATTATAGAAAACTAACTAGAAATTATATGGTAGAAATTATAAAGAAGAAAAACCAATCATAATCCCACACCTGTGATCATTGTTATTAACCCGTTGTATTTTTTTCATTTCTTTCCTATATTTTTCATATGTTGAATATTTTTAACATGCCTTTTTTACTACTAATAACGCTGCAGCAAACATCATTGTCTATAAATCTGTCTGTCCCTCTGATTGATTACCCATTCGGACAGATTGGAACAACTGGAATTAGTAAGAAAGTCTGTGGTGATTTTCATCGCTGAATATTTATGTGCTCTTTGATGAAATGTATGTGCCTAAAATGCTAATTGATGCACTGGACCGGCTCCAACATCCATTAGATATTAAGAAGAGAAAATACACATGAAGCGCTTAGCACGTACTAAGCGCTTGGTGAGTAAATATATATAGTTTTACTTGTG